CTATTTTTGATGAGCTGTGCAAGATATTAGATCCAGGAAAGCCTTCATTCACTCCAAAAAAGGGGAAAACTAGTGTTATTATGTTTGTTGGTCTACAAGGTAACTGTTACAGTGACTTCAGAGCAGTCATTTATTTGAATGTTATAATGCACTATTCTGGTGACCAATATTTCATATTGTGTATGCATTATGCTATTCATATTTAACTAACTGTTAATATCTCACTATACATGGAGCGAATTGAGGCTATTTCTGAACTTTTGCTCTTGGTTTTTTTCCTCGTCTGTGAGAGAAAGGATAGAGGTATTGACATATACTTGATTCCAGGTGCTGGGAAAACGACTACATGTACAAAATATGCATATTACCATCAGAAGAAGGGTTGGAAGCCTGCTCTGGTCTGTGCAGATACATTTAGAGCTGGTGCTTTTGACCAATTGAAGCAGAATGCCACTAAAGCTAAAATTCCTTTTTACGGCAGGTATAGTTTTATGTTTACTGGTGGATTAGTTTGCAATCTGTTTTTATTCCAACTTCTGATGTGCAATGTTTAGTCTACCCTTTTTAGAAATCAACCAATTCCTGCTTTTTCAGATTTCCGCTGTACACATGTATATATTTATAATTTTTGAGTTTGAATTACATGAGCTAACAATATGTATCAATTAATTTCTGGAGTTTATTGTTTAGGTGCATTATTGCAGTGTGAGAGGAATATGTATGGAATGGCTCTTACATTAATCTGATCTTATGCCAATGTCAATTCTTTTGAGAACCTAGATTCAATGCCCTCACTAACCTGTAGGTCTTGTACAAATGGATAGGTCCAAATATGCTTAGTCACTGAAGAAAATGTGGCTCTTCCATATGTTATGTTTTCTGTTTAAGTTTTCATTGCTACTTCATATAGATCATTCCCTTTCCGATAGTTAGTACTGTGCCCATATGATTGTGTGTTATTTTTGCTTTGTGGGCGTTACAATCTTCGATGAGTAGATATCTTATGTGGGTAATGGTTTTGTCCGTAACAGCTACACGGAGTCTGATCCTGTAAGAATTGCAGTGGAAGGTGTTGAGAGGTTTAAGAAAGAAAATTGTGACCTTATAATTGTAGATACTAGTGGACGTCACAAGCAGGAAGCATCTCTTTTTGAAGAGATGCGTCAAGTTTCTGAAGCAACGGTATGCAATTTCTGGTGCCTCTTTTTTTCTTTGTTCTTTGGTTCTAGTTTCTACTTTATAATACATGAGTTATCTTTTGAATTTTCCAGAAACCAGATCTTGTAATATTTGTCATGGACAGCAGCATTGGTCAAGCTGCCTTTGATCAAGCTCAAGCTTTCAAGCAAAGTGTTTCAGTTGGAGCTGTGATCATCACCAAGATGGATGGGCATGCTAAGGGAGGTGGTGCTCTTAGTGCGTAAGTCTTTAAATAATCATATTTTATTCTTTAAATTTAGATGTTGAAGTATCTGTCGAGCTGTGGTTTGAAGTTTTCTTGATTCAATTTGATTTATATTCATCTTTATTTGCAGCGTTGCAGCCACAAAAAGTCCCGTCATATTTATTGGGACGGGTGAACATATGGATGAGTTTGAAGTATTTGATGTCAAACCATTTGTTAGTCGTCTTTTAGGTTGGAACCTCTTTAACTTTTAGCTAAAGTGATTTTTTGCTGCTAACCCCGTTCAACTTGGTAACATTTTCTGTTTTTTCCAATTGCTATAGGTATGGGTGACTGGTCTGGATTCATGGACAAAATTCAAGAAGTTGTTCCTATGGATCAACAACCTGAGCTTCTCCAGAAGCTATCAGAAGGCAACTTTACTTTGAGGATTATGTACGAGCAGTTTCAGAATATACTCAAAATGGGCCCTATTGGTCAGGTCTGTCTGTTGCTTCCCCGTTTGCTTGCATGTACTTTCAGTATATGCATTTTTACTCAGATTTTTTTTTTCCCTTTTTCTCTTTGGTAGGTTTTCTCCATGCTTCCAGGTTTTAGCCAAGAGCTGATGCCTAAAGGACGTGAAAAGGAGAGCCAGGCAAAGATCAAAAGATACATGACAATGATGGACTCAATGACTAATGAAGGTAAGGTTTTTAACCGCATGAAATTATTTGTTTCTGAAAATTACTAAAAAAGCACCCTCAAAGTCCAGCTTTTATCATTCCCCAAGAAACACTCAATTGCCCCTCGAAATTACGTATACAATTTGCTCTTCTTTATGAAATATGCCTGGCTTGATGTAAAATTGAAATATTATTTCCTTCCTTCTTTTAGTTTGATAGAAATAATTACATAATGTAATAACTAATCAAGTAAAAT